AGTACGGGGGCGGGCGGGTGAGGTTGCGGGGGAGGGCAATGCTGGAATCTGCTAGGCCCTCGGTCGGTAATGTGGGGAATCTTCTTTATCGGCCCGGCGGTGGTAATGTTCGGGCCCCAATTTTGGGCCAGAATGGGCGGGGGGGATACCCACCATGCGATATCTGACGTTGAATATCCACCATATGATATCTCATATCTAATACCTTGTATGTGATGTCTACAATCCAATATCTCATTTCTGATGGCTAATATCTAATTTTTCATAGCTGACAATCGTAGTTGTTAAAATTTTCAGACGTTCTGTGGGCGGTGCATTTTTTTTTTCTTTGAGGCCACCTCAATAATCATAATTCATAACGTAATTACAACAAATTAATTCATGAGTAGTAGAAACTAATAATAAGAAAGATGAATTTTTTTTCTTATCAGATCTGAGGAATGATTTTAAACTCGATACTTCTCTCTCTCTCTCTCTCTCTCTCATTGAGTTTGAAGCGCAAACTGGTCCACCGTTCACGTGGCCACGTGTGTTTACCGGTGAGCATGTACGCGCCCTATAAACAAAACACTCAGCTGCTCGGATGCGTGGTTTCGAAGTGGAGTGAATGCCTATTCCATGGATCGAAAAAATGATGTCATACAACATAAGAAGTATAATAATAATAATAATTGGAAAAAGGGAATTTTTTCTATATTGAATGGAAATGTAAGGTTTGTAAAAATGAACATGAGGAAATTTCTTTAGAATGTGTAAATATATTTTTACATTTTTGCAAGTCAAAACAAAAGAACGATTTTGAGATAATAATTGAATTAAAAATGTCTGATTTGTCAATCAAAAAGTTCATTAAAATCTTTTTCACTATTATCGAATTTTTGCTGAGTACTCTGGAACCAATGTTTCAAGCGGTGCACATTCACCAAAGCACAGCAAATTAACTCCTGCGCTGTCTTAATGTGTCGATGAGTGTGCGGATGAGCAGTTCCTTTGAAGAAACAATCGTCGATCTTTGGACAATTGTAATCTTCAAAATTTACAACGTGGAAGGAATCGCCAAGCAGTTGTTCCACATAGTGCTGTTTCTCTAAGCCTTTCATATAAATTTATCGACTATTCAGTAGAAAACTGTGAAAAACTTTGTCAATGTTCTTATAATCACAACCACCAACACTCTATTGTATTCCATGATGATTACGAGTTAGCCACCTGTTAGTTACAATATCCTGCATCTCCAGATCACTCCAGGCACATGGTGGTTGAAAGAGGATGTTGATGGGGGGAGATTATTCAATTTCTGGCAACTGTTGCACTGCCACTGCACTCAATTCTTTTATGATAAATTCACCTCGTTTTTGGAATCCTTGCAAATCAATGATGAATGCCATGCTGTTGATTGAATAATAGTCCAACTACTCTGACGTTCAGAGCGGAGGTGTGCAGTATCCCGTCCTCTGGGCTCGTGTGTTTCTTCACAGGCTACATCTGCCCCCCAGCTCATCCAATTTTTTTCATTGCGTATTATATACTATTGAAAAATGAGCTGAGGACATCAATTGCCACAGCCTCCATTTCCTCCAGCGTCTCAATATCTGGACTACCTCCCTCCTCATTGTGTGAATCACATTCAGGGGAAGTCCCACCGTCACATGTGCTGCAATCGGGAGATGTTCCACTATCAAATCCATCAGCTGTAGGTTGTTGCATAAATATATAAAAATCTTCGTTTTTCACAAGGATTGTGCGAACCCCAACCAGTGAGAGATAAACTTTTGTGAGACCGTTGAATTGCTGAATAGCTCCATTAACATGGGTAATCAGCGATGGCACAGGTAGTTGCATGAACCATTGCAACGGTATGATGACATTCTCCAGAAGATGCTTGTATGTTTCTCCATTGTCTTGTGCAGCAGCAGCTTCGAATGATGGATAATACTCGACGCACATCTCGAATAGATTATCGTTTGACATTTTTGAAGAATTTTATTTTTTAAACAATCAATAACTTTTGACTATGCGAGAAGAATGATTATGATATCCCATATGCATGAAATTCAAGAACCAACTGATGAGATTTTCATAAGATGTTTATATGTGCACAGAAATGTTGATCTTATTGGGTTGAGGAGGAGAAGGGGTATAGGTGTCACAGAAATTATACACTAGCACATCTACCCCCGATTTTTATTCAATGACAGTGGTATTATAACTTCGAGGATATATTATCAGCGGTGATACAGACACAGAGGGCACTTTGCTATTGGTGGGGGAATTGGATTGAGTGATGAGGGTGATATTGAAGACCAATGCGTGCGGCAATAACGTAGCTTGGCGATGTTTGGATCCCTCTTCATCATCTCAGGCAACTTGTCCCAAGCCGCATCCACGGTGTTCTTGGCAATGGTTTTGATGAAATGCTTTGGTAGGAATGCAATTTCCTGAGTGGTTAGTGCATTCAAATGCTGAGTTTCGCAATATTTCTTCAAGGATTTCTCTAGAGACCCCGCGTTGTGATTGGTGAACCATTTTTTCAGACGTTGCACATGTTCAAGGGGGCAATGGTATTGGGTAGGGCTACCATCGAAAAGACTGTGATGGTAGACACACTTGAAAACACCCTCACCTTCCAGAGGCTCCATATCAGGGCTGCCAAAGTCATTGAAATCCTCAATTGGTACTTCATTCTTGAGAATTTGCTGTAGCCAGTTCTTATTCTCTGCACATTGGACGTAAATGTGGGAAACATTTTTCAGAATATTATTCACATATTCACTCAATGTCTCATATTTGATATCTCCAGGAGTGTCCCAATGTAGTCCATGGTAGTGACGTGACAGCCACTGATTCACTTCTTTGTACTTGGGAAGCAATTCATCCCATTTATGTGGTGGATCCACTAAAACTGCGACATGCACGAACTTTCCATCACCATCAAGTTCTAGCGCGGAAATTGCAAATTCTTTTACAACAAATTCGTTACCAAAATTTTTGAAACCTTCAATATCAATGACAACTGCCATATCGTAAAAGTAACTGTGAATATTGCTCAATCCTCAGGCAATCAACTACCACTGAGTAGCTTGGGTGGATGGTGGGCATATCTTCAGAATGTTGGAGGGAGTGGGGACACCAAGTTGATCACGTTTTCATAATGTTAGTTTAAAAAATACCTATCGGGCCTTATTACCTCTCGATACCGAGAAAGCCAAAACCGTTGAGAATTTTAAGAATTTTTTTTCCGTTGAATTTCTCAGTAAACATCTTTTCATACAATTGAACCTCACCCACCCAGTCACGTATTCTTAATATTAATACAATATTCATTAAGATGGACTAGTGCTGACATTTTTATGGATTCCAAGTTCTCCAGCTGCATGATGAAAAAAATGTGATTAGAGGGGGGGATCTCTCGCTGGGTAAATGAGATCCTAATAGCTTATAAGATATCTCCTCCCCAGTGCAGAGCTCATTTTGATTCTGCGACCTGAGTGTTAAAGTGCTCTGCCTTTGTGATGTCTGTTGATGCTGACCAATCGACAAGTAATAGAATTTCAACTTGTGAAGTGATCACAATTCGTCAATTTATTCAAAAGTTGGAAACTTCGGAGAGGATGAAGCGAGATTTGCAATGGGATGCAATTGAGTCAATCAGCACGTCAGATGGAGAGTCAGAGATTGGAAACTTTACCGACAGCGATGATGATGATGATGCTTGGGATGCGCCATTAGATCCCGACACCATCTCACCCGATGTCAGTGAAAACGTGGATGATTCGCCAGAGAGTCCAGCGGCTATGGAGAAGGGGATTGTAGACTCTCCAGCAAGCCCGGACCTCGAATCTCCAGAGAGTCCAGCGGCTGTGGAGAAGGTGCTTGTAGACTCTCCTGCAAGCCCAGACCCCGAGTCTGCAGAGAGTCCAGCGACTGTGGAGAAGGGGATTGTAGACTCTCCCACAAGCCCAGACCCCGAGTCTCCAGAGAGTCCAGCACCTGAGGAGAAAGGTTTGGGTGATCTTCCAAATCTAGCATCGGACAGCTCGATGATGGTTGTGAAAGACTCTGATTCAATGGATCCACCTGATTCTACTACATCAGAGGTAGCACCAGTGATTCCAGTAAATGTTGAGACTGCACCAAGTAATTCAGCGGATGAAACAGAACCATTTGTTCGAGTGGGGGAAGTTGTCTGCCCAGCAGCAACAGATGATTCAGATGATGTGGAACGTGTTTGAATTTTCGTGCCCGAACAATGGGAAGGTGTGATGTCTGAAAGAGCTATGATGAAAAAGCTGAGAGAAATCATCAATCGTCATCATTAAGTTGGTGGAGCTTTTGTCACAATGGGAGATGTTCGAGCCAAGCTGATCTTCTGTCCTTATGGAAATATTTACTTTCGACCAATGGGATCATTTAAACATCCCAAGCGATTGTCAACCAATATTAAAATCTATCCAGCGGTAACTTAATAACAAAATTCTACCATCTTCTCAATCTGCTAACTCAATTATTAATTTCTTTCATTTTTTGTCTGTTTCAGTTGTATTTTCCGAGGGAGAATTATTTTGAAAACTTGTCTTCTACCATCTGACAATTAAACAATGAAAAATTTTATCACTTGCGTTCCATTATTTTTTTCAATTTATAAAGTTTAAATGTTCAACTAAAAAAATTGGAAAATACTATTGTAATAATCTATGCCTTGAAAACTCTGTAATATTATTTCGTAAAATATCTATGCATATATATGTTTTGAATAAAGAATATTTTCTCCACTTGAAATCTCTGTCAATGCTCCATTCTTAACCATCCACCAGATGTAAACATTTAGAGTTTACACGCCAGACACCTAGAGTGAGACAGGCAACTTTTGGGTGCTCAGACGCTTGAGTGACAGAGAGAGAGATAGCGAAAGAGTGGGGATGGTGCGGCGACAGGCCCAACGTTGTCTTGCAGCCTCGCTTCTTTAGTACGTTGAATTAAATCGAAGCAACAAGTAAGTGGTGTGACAGTGTGAATTGAAAAGTAATTTTAGAATTTTGTGATTTTAGAATTTTGTGATAATGAATTTTTTACTTATTTTTAGTGAAACTTGAAGTGTACGTGTTCCCAGATCCCGAAATGAGGCAGGAGTGGGAGGATGACGATGTGATGATGGAAGAATGGTGGTTGGGGGACGTAGAGAAAGCTAAGGAGAAAATCCCCAAGTACTACCCCCTAATCGCCAGACTCGAGGTACCCATGGACTTGGTTGTCAAGTTCATGGCGTATCTCGGGGGGCATTTTTATGCAAATAACGTGAGTTATCTATTACAATAAGTGCTTCTTTTTTCAAATTTGTTTTTGATTAATATATAATTTTTTGGTTCCAGGAAGCCCAGCTTCACCAATTATTGAGGGAGTTCCTCAACTTCCTGCGGTTGGTGGGACGGGAGGAAGAGGCGCGTGAGATGTTGCCTTACACGCATGCCATGGCAGCGGCAGCGGTCATGATTCTGGATGCTCAGAATCATTACAACGTATAAAGTAAGTACCTGTAATTATTTTCTTTACGTTATCACCATCCATTACTGTTCAATTGATGAAAAAAACGTTGTGTATGTTTCAGATGTATCATCTCCAAGGCAACATTTAATTTTTAATATTATAATTAGGATAAGTTTTTTCTTTCCAATTGTTATTTTTTTATTATTGTCAACTAGAATCAGTTTTTCTTTTTAATTCATTTTTTTTTTATTATTGTAACACGAATAAGTTTTCATTCCAATTCCTATTTTTTTTTTTTTATTGTTGTAACTAGAATAAGTTTTTTACAATTTTAAATTAAAAAAAAAAATAAGCCGAAACAAAGTTTAAGATTCCAATTTATTTCACAACCCTCATTTTTCAGGTTAATTTAATAGTGAATGTTCACATTTTTCTTTATTGCTGATCCGCATTGCTGAAGAGGCATGGATTGAACTCTCCCTTCAGGAAGGTGATTTGCAGACGTTTGGCAGCAGCAGCCTCGCGGTATTTCTCCAGTTTGGATGGATCTTGTTGGAAGGCGTTGGACAGATGTGGTAGTAGATACACGATGCACTCATCATTCAGAGCGCCAACCACTTTAGAACCAAATTTAGTTGAGATCACCTTCAGATCGGTGACTAAATACTTCTGGTTGAGTGACAGCTCCGTTCGACGTTTGGTTGGTAGGAAATTCCCTTGAGTCACAATTTTGTTGATGTCATCAAGATCCAGGGCTTGCTTCTCCATTTTTGATTTATTTGGTTCTCTCCTCGATTCACTTCGTCTTAGAAAAAATTTCGTGTGACTGCAGTTATAGGCTGGAGACTGAATGATGAATCAGTTGCTTTACTCCAGCTACTTATAGGCTCTTCGCAAGTGGAGGGGGAATGCAATTATCATTTATAATTTCAATCCAAAAACAATTTCAAGAAAATTAGGCAATCTGCATCCAACGGTTAAATTTTTCCTCGAAAGGTAACGGCTTTCATAATTCTAA